TTTGAATCCATTCCAAATGCCTTCTTTGCTTTTATAATAGGCTTCACAATACTTCCATCTTTTTTCTCACGCAGGGTTGGACCTCCAATTCTTTCACCATGTTAGAGTCGCTCACTTTGTTTCTTGTTTCAGTATCTTTATTTTCGAGGTAGCAGACATCATGTTTATAGGCTGCTTCATCGACCCTATTTATGCGTTTACTCCATTGTGAAATCTGGGTTTAATCTAGTTTTTCCTTTAAGCAATTGAGTTTGATGCCGCCCTGGTAGGTGCATTTCAAATGGTAAACTATTAATCGCAGCGTTAACAGCGCCTTTTCCTTTCTTGCAATTCTTTTTACGGCACACTTATTTATACAGTAATTTTATTTGCTCACATACTGAAAACCGTTAAGTTGGGTTTGCTTTATGTACTTTTCTCTGGGAAAGTAGACTAGATTTTTGATAAAATCTTCTTCTCTCATCCGATACCGCATTCGATTTGTATGAATTAAGCAGCTGTTTATAGAAATTGTAGGCCTGTTTATATTCTTCTTTCCTTTCCAGTATATTCAAAGATTTATCAATAACTTCTACAATACCTTCATCTTACAAGAGCGAAAGAAGTGCTATTTGAACATAAAAAATCAAGATATCACCATGATCAAAACATTAAAAATCTGTGTTGCGTCGATTTGTATTTTTTAATTCTTATAGTCTGAGGACTGTAAAACTTTTTCTGTTAAAATAAAGAAATTGTAGCGTATTATCCCCTTTCCGAGGAAGAAATCAAAGAGGACATTTCAGGAATAGGGTTCCATTTAACGAATGACGGATATGGAAAGAAAAAAAAAATTACGAAATGTTTCAGAAGAAAACACCGATTCTGCAACCAAAAATTACGTAGAAACGAGAAAATTAGAGAAACACTTTAACGGATAGCAGCCTGATTCACGATGAAGAATTTTTCAATGCAAAGCAAAAATATATATAAAGAAATCTAGGAGATCCCAGAGACGCTTCAACTGAAAAATATGTAAATGAACAGATTGAAGAAAATAAGTTTAGTAAATTATAATGCAAAGGGAAGCAATATAATAAACGATCCCGCGAACTACTCAAAACATGCGGTTAATAGGAACTATTTTGAAAACAACGCTTTGATTTTAAAAGGTAACAGTTATGATGCTAAAAATAAAATCATATCAAATGTGGAAGAACTTGAAAATGATGTTGTAACTAAAAAACATCTAGACTACTATTGCATAAAGTGGAACAAAGCTGATAGAAGATATTTTGCCCACAACCAAAGAAATTCGAGTGTAAGGAAGTCACAGAAAGATACTGATTGTGCTAATAAGTATTACGTTGACATGAAAACGTTTTGCGCAACTACAGACAAAGGAGTTGAATTTATTGGTGCGGGATATAAAACTTTTCAATTCAGTAAAACTACTTCAAAACTTTTAGATGTAAACTTAAAATTATCACAAGATATGTTTATGAAAATTAGCACTATTTAGCTTGCGATAGAATGAATGAAAAACCAAAAATACTTTTAGAAAAAGTGCAACAAGTTCTTCTTGATAGAGCTACAAGCGTCAATGAAGAAACAATAACTATGTCTACATATGGGAGATTAAATGAAGTTTTAACATTATCAATAGGAGGAAAGTGTAAATTAAGACCTTATTTGCATGTTGAGAAACTAGAATTTCAGTATAAATAAATGGAAAAACTTAATTCTTTAGGTATTAGAACTTATAAGAAAGTAGATCATCTGATTTCTGACATTACTTACCACAATGATTACCACGTTTGGAGAGTGGGTCACTTATTTATCTTCCCTTTGAGACATTACAAGAGGAAGAGATACACTCTCATTAAAGAAGATCCAAGCTAAAAGTACTGGGAAGTATATAGTATTCTCTGAGGTCATTTCAATAATACCTTGGGGATATTAAATACACTTAAAGAGAATATTTCTATATATAAATAAGAAGAAAAATGGAATTGTTGAACAAGTTAAACGCATTCAGTTCACTGAAGTCTTTCAAAAAGATGGATGAGCTAACCGTAGATCAAAATACCCGGTTTCTGAAATTAAACAAATAACAACAAAGTATGGAGATAAAATTGTTGTGCAATTAGATGACGGCGCCGCTATATGTTTACCGCAAAGGTTTGATAGCAAAGCATCAGACTATTTGAAGCTCAATGAAATTAAACCCCTTTTCTTCGTACACCTAGGAAGCAGACATCGCGGTAAAGCTCAACCCGCTCACATGTTTAGATTCGATATGTAACATCAGATATTTAATTTTAGTGGTGACAAAAACCATTTTTTTTAAANAAGTTCCTGCCGACCGGCCTGTGTAGGGGGCAGGGAACTGTCCTTGCATCAGAAAGGTTCTGGGTTCGAATCCCGGGCAAGGCATGGATGTTTCTTTCTCTCTATCTGTGTTCTATGTCCTTGAATGTGAATGTGACTGTTCTTTGTGTGTGAATGTGACCTGCCCTATAAACGGGTTGTGGTAGTGCGACGTGGGCGACGCTGCTCCACCGCCGTGGCTTCGCCACAGGTGCCCGCTGGGTAACGAAAAGAGAGTTAGCAGTTCTGGCACTTTCTGTGGCCAATGGACAATAGTTCCAAGTGCCAGTCGTTAAAAAAAATAAAATTGTTCCTTACAAAAAGAATTTCTTAAGAAGGCATTCATTTTCAATTAAGAAGGCTAATGAGATTTACGAAAATGTAGGTCAAATCTTTATTACTTTTTGTAATATTGCCTTTGAAACTCAAGTGACCTTTGAGTGAGGGAGGAAAGCAAGAGACGATCTCCCTCTTCAACTCTTTTTGAAAATCTTTTTTCTTTCTCTGTCCTTTTGAAGAACTGATATGGGGGCGTTTTAAAAACCGATAGTTCACTTTTTATTTATAAGCTTGTAATTTATTATGAAAATTATATTCGCTGATAATTCGTTCATTTTATATATACATTTTATTTATTTAGTAGTAATAATTTTCTTGTTTTTATTCATTTTGAGAGTGGAATTTATTTTTTAAATACATTATTTCCCTTTTTTTAAACCTTTTTCCTTGTTTTTTTAAAGATATTTCAGAATTAAAAAATTTAGCTTCTGAATAAAGTGAGATTAATTAAAATCGAGACAATGGCGTAAAGATCTTCCAATGCATCACAAAACTGCAGTTTTTCTTTTTTTTAAAAAAAAAATATATCGTACACTCATTTGTAGGTATAAAAAAAAACATTTACATTGAAAACATTTAAAAGGTTGCAATTTTTTCCATTCCATAAATAGTTTTAATTACAACACAGGAGCGACCAACACCGTGATCTTAATACAGCTCTCCCGGCTTCCCACAAAACAGCAATGAATCAACTAATGGTATCCGTTCATCGAATTCTATCACAGATAAAATTCTGGTGGGGGAGTACTGTAGTGTGTCAAAATAACAATTCCAATTCAGTAGTATATAAGACATGTTAACTAGATTCTATGGTGGGGTATCTTTTTATTGATGAAGGTTGACATTGTCGATAGCTACTATCCCGATGGATTCGGTATCCTAAAACTGTTTCCATTACACACGACGCTGGCCTTGAATTGAACTCTCTACAAATCTGGACCTGAGATTCACTTGCTTCTAGCCTCCCCACAATTCACCACCTCATTTCTATGTTGGTGGTTACTCGTTTTTACTGTTACAATTTGAATTAAACCTATTGCTGCAAAACGACACCAAGAAATTCGCCGAGGTGAGCTGGAGAACGAAATACGCCTTAGCTTACGCGCACTTATAAAGCCTTTTCCTCTACCGGCTCCACCCACATGCACGCGTACACTTACGTATTTGATGAACAAGATTTGTATTTTTGTCTAAAAGCAATGATTTTACATTCAGTTCAGTTCTTTTCATGAAATTCGATAAAGTAAGTAAATTCTCTTAATTTATTTTACCAGATTAGTTAAGGTTTAAAATTTATAAATTTAAGAGTCTATAGAAATTGAAATGCCATTTGTGTTTATCATGACGTTCAAATACAATATTTCTTCAATTTTCGATAACTTATGCATTATTTGTTCCCAGCACGTCTTACTTCCACACTTAAACTATGAGTTTCGCTAACTTTCAAGATATTTAATTTCTTCTAGTGGTTTAGCCTTTTTTTAAATTTTTTTTAAATTTAAATATTTGGTAAAATGCTGTTTCCAAGACAGCGCACGTTTCAATCTATGTTTAAATTTTCATTTATTTATTTTTTTCATCAATGAAATTTGTGTTTCAACCACACAACAGAGGTGATTGACCCCCCCCCCCTCATCTCAAGTTATTAGCTAACATACATCCGTGTATTTTGCCTTTATATAGACAGAAAAGCAAAAAGTCTTCTTTGTCGAGCTATTCTGAATACTTGTATACTAAATTGTAAATCTGTGAATTTAAAAATGTAACATAAATTCAATTCTCTTTCCAGAAAGCTTAAAATTTGTTTGTTGTTCTTTTGGTTATTGGCAAGGATTAAAGAAAATAATTTTAATAGTCCACTTAAATTAGTAATTTATGTTGTTAACTTTAACAGATAATGTTATTTAGTTTATGCCTTTTTATATTCGATGTTCTGTTTTTCATGTTTATGACTACTCATTTGCCTGATATTTCGATTTTCATTTCTTTTTTGTAAAAGCAAAAAAAATCGGTTTTTCAACATTATATAGATACACATTTATGTTTTATATGATAGGATCCATTATCGTATGATTGTTAATGTATTCTCAATATCGTACTCTCATTATAATATGATTAATTTCTTATCATTTATTAGTAGTGCATAAATTACAATTTCTCATTTATTCGTAATTATGTCTTCTTTCCTTAAATTTGTAAAAATTTGATATAACTTATGACATATAAGCAAGAAAATTTTTAAAAATATATAAAAGAGTAGAAAAGTAACATAGTAAAGTTAGCATGTTTTACTGTACTTTTCTTAAAGCTGTACTTCCAATTCAATTAGTATATTCTAATTATTACATTTTGATATATTCAAAAAAACTTACCCCCCACTAGTATGTCTCCTCTCAGTATTGCTTCTATAGCATGAAAGTAACAAGAAAGTTGCAAAGTTCCTCCATTTGGAAAGAAGTCAGCATGGCCAAGAGGAGTTAATGCTCCAACAACAGATCCTACAAGATCGCAGTTATAAAACAGCAAATCGATTTTGTCTAAAATTTGAAATTATTCACAATTCTAATTTAACAAAAACTGTTTTTCTCTATGACTTACCAACTTGTTTACATTAAATAAATTAGACACACACATGTATATAGTTTAAATGCTTCTTGAAATTGAGAAGCAAAATTTTCAAATAAGTATAAAAACATGCTACTTGTAAGATAGTTACCAAACGTGAAAACATGTTGCTTAAATCTGTTACAAACATATTTGAGCAGAACACAGAATGAAAACATTACTACTTATTACTTACTAAGTTTATAAATTTCCAAACTTTCTAGCTTTGGAATCAACTCAAACTATAAGAACATGTCACAAAGCTTTCTGTCTGAAAAACAACACAAATGCTGATATTTTGTTCCTGCCGACAGGCCTGTGTAGGGGGGCAGGGAACTGTCCTTGCATCAGAAAGGTTCCGGGTTCGAATCCCGGGCAAGGCATGGATGTTTCTTTCTCTCTATCTGTGTTCTATGTCCTTTACGTGTGAATGTGACCGGAACTATAAACGGGTTGTGGTAGTGCGACGCTACTCCACCGCCGTCCACAGGTGCCCACTGGGTAACGAAAAGAGAGTTAGCAGTTCTGGCACTTTCTGTGGCCAATGGACAATAGTTCCAAGTGGTTTCCTTGTCTTCTGGATTGGTTCAAAATTACAAGGCTACGGAGTTGAACGTAAGTAGTCGTAAACCCATGAAATTGGGTCGGCTTGTTAACGACGGTTATAAAATAAAATAAAATAGTTCCAAGTGCCAGCCGTTAAAAAAAAATTGTTCCTTACCTTCATACAAAAAGAATTTCTTAAGAAGGCATTCATTTTCAATTAAGAAGGCTTCATTTTCTAATGAGATTTGGTACACTTTCTCCCCGATAAAGATTAAAAAACTTCCGTAGATTCAAATCTGGTGTAAGAAAAAATGGCGATAAGTCCTGAAAATTTAAATTTTCAAACAGTAGCCAGTGGACGGTGGCTACTGTTAATAACTTAATATCCACTTTTTCCTCAAACCTTATGAGTCGGTAACCAATATCGTTAGGTGCTCTCTAATTAATAACCTCTTTTGCAAACTTTTTTTTTTTGGCTTGGATTAAATTATAATTTTACAAAAATTCCTATCAGAAATAATCTAGAACTAAAAAAAAAATATACAAATATGCAACAAAATTTGGTTGAACAAACTGACTTTTAAAAAACTTTTAAGTAAAAATATTTGGTGTGGCAAAATACATTTAATGTATACATTTCAACTTTGAAATATGTGAATTGTTAAAGAACTCTCCTTCTACATGAATTGGATTCTGAAAAATCAAAATTTTAAAGAGACAACAGACATTTTAAAGAAAACTCTGTTTTCCATAATCTTGTACATTGATGTACATTTTTGATTAAAAAAAAAGAAAATGATGGGAATTAATGGGAAAATAATTATGTTCAGTAATTTTTTCAATAAACTTATAAGGATAAAAACACTAATTATGAAATTACCTCTAAATAAATTATTGCAATATGTTGTTAGTGTAGTGTTTAAAAAAAATATTACAACGAAACCTTTTTCTATTAAGTTGTAGAAACTGCTAAGATGCTTCCTTTTTGTGATGCAGTGCTGATATCTCGCATAACTTAATTTCTCAAATTTTATGGAAATTAAGCCAGTTTCGTTTTCCCCTTAAAAATTCTCAATATTTCCCAGAATTCTTATTCATTTTTCAAAACTCCATCTTCACAAACTGAGGTTTTTTTTTGTTGCAGCATTAACTTCTAACCCTAGAAATCATTGTAACTGGTTTAAAATATTACTTTAAAATTTCATTTCATGCTTTTTTAAATGATGTAACTACTTTTGTAATAATATATATAAATGAGTTTATTATTTCTATATGTGAGATAATTACAACAATATTTGCTCACCGAAACAAGTACCAGCATCGGCATGTATGACATCGACGAAATGAGCCTCTTTGTAAGTTGTATTGTGAGCAAAATCATCATTCCTATATACGAGTACACCAGTATCTAAAACTGTATGAAAAAAAAAGAATGTATTTATTACTTTCGTCAGGTATAAGATTTATTTTTATTTTTTTAAAGTGAATAGACAACTTAAAAGAGAGCGTCCTTCTAACATTTAGATAAAACAGTAAGTGATGGCTACAAGCTATTATTAATACACCGCGATTAACCTTTCCCGGATATCAAAAGTCCCTTAAAAATGAAAGATTTCAATAATTCTAAAACTAGTTTAATAGAAGGGGGGGGAGAGACGTCATGAAATATTCAGACATAGAAGTGCGGATATACAAAAAATTTCACATGTCTACTGTTATTAATTTCTGCTAAACTAAACAAAGCAGAGTAAAACCAAATGTTATACTTTGATCAAAATTTAATATTCAAATCAATAATATTTTCAGATGAAATGTTATAATTTTTTTTTTTTTTTTAAATGTGCAAAATTTCAAGTTTTTAATCCATTAGTTTTAGCGTTACACGAATGAAACGCGCGTGCTTCGATAATTGGGTATAATATAGCCTACGTCACAGGTTGTGTTGTTCCTACTAAATTTAACCCATGAACGGCATTTTCTGCGAGCCTAACTTCAAGCCACAAATAAACAAACGAAGTGCTCGATCGTTTAAATAGCTGCTCGCCAGATTTTATTGCATTATAAAGAAAAATTATTGAAACTAAATACAACTAAATAAACAACAACAACTAAAACAAATAACAACAACTACTAATAACAATAACTAAATAAACAACAGTTAAATTCCATTCGTTTAGCATTGCGTCATATGTTGTTCCTACTAAATCGAAGTAGTTGTGTTTTTTTCATATTATACCTAATTCTCTGAAATAGAGGTGACGGTGGCAATTTTGGAAATGGTTTTCAAAAATAAAGTCAAAAAATTTACCCAATAAAAAAATCAGGCTAATATTTAAGGGATAAAAAAAAATATCAATATTATTCAGAGGAATCGAAGCCAAATCATGGCATTTTAGGTGAATGAGAGGATGTTTGATTTGTGAGATGTATGTGTAGCCAGGATACTTTGAATCTCTCAAATGAAAATTTCCAGATTTTTGGTCAAATACTAGAAAGATGCAAAACGAGATTTAAGAAGAGAAGTGCATTACCGCACATTTAGTTAAAGCAAGTAATATAAAAAATTAAAGTCGATTCCTACTTAGGTCAACAACAAAAAAAAAATTATTTCAGTTTTTTTTAATTAAGTAATGAAAATTTTTTCACCTATGTAAAACTAAAATTAACTAATTAAATTTAATTAATTAATTAAATTTAATTAATGAATTAATATGTGAAAAAACTGTATTGACTTCAAGTGTCATCCACTACAAGTTTAAAAAAATGTATTTGGACTTGAGTGGATGAATAAAAAGTATTCGCGATCGCAACGAACTATAGGGGGCGTTGTTGTATGAGACGAATACCTGCGATTTCTATATGAACAGTCATTAAGTTACTCAGGAGACGTCTTTAATGTAGCATGTAACATTGTAACGTTCCATCTTCATTGTGGCTTATTAAATTTGAAAAAGAAAAATGTTTGATATTCTTTCTTATGCAAACGGGAAAAAATGGTATCTCTTTTTTTTAAGAGAAGAAACATCCGAAACACATCGGAAAAATATTTGTGAATAAACAAAAAAGAAAAAAATATTTATCTTTTTATTAGAGTTAATGCCTGAGAAATAGACTTACTAAATTTAATGATATAACATTAAAGGCCTATTTCAACTTAACATTCTATAGTTTTAAGAATCATATTACTTCAAACATCAAAATAAGCAGAAAGTATGCATAAGCCTCATAATTTTATATAATTTAATTATGTCAAAATAGTTTTTTGACAACAATTTTTATCAAAAAATTCTAAGTTTCAATAAAAATCATTATTTAGGAACTAAAAAACGTAAAATAAAGAATGCTTACGAAACAAAACAAAAAAAAAACTATTCTAAGAATTCCTCATATTAAAAAAAAATTGCTCATGTTTTGTGTTTTTTTAAATTCATAGTCGGACGCACAAAACCATTTTAAAAATTCCTCACATTAAAATAAAATAAAAAAACTTGCTCATGTTTTTTTTTTCATAATCGGACGTAGAAAACCATTCTATAGAAAATTATCATCAAATAATCCTGGATATCATCTTTTGGATTCCTTGTTGTTTGCTGATTTTTGACGCCATTTTAGTGCTAAGAAAATGCGTCTTTGGGATTTGCCAAAAACGGAACAAGATGCAATTTAATTTTTTTCAAGAGCGAAATATTTTACCAAAAAAACGAAAATGTACCAATTCCCATAACATGAAACTTTATCTTGGTAAACGTACGTTTTGGAAATGTTCTTTCGCTTGGAATCTTATTTATTAGAGTTCATATGGCGACAGAATCAGATAAAAGAAAATAGAGATTGTTTTGAATCTATGTTAAACTCTATATCGGTCCATTTTCCACCGAAATCTGATTGACTACTTTGATTTTAAATAAAGTGTTTTATTTTTTGATTTGTCGCAAAAATTTTAGGTGCAGATTGGGAGGCACTTAAAAACCGCCAAATCTGTAGAGACAGAGGCGTTAATACGTAAGTACCGAATTTTTATTCCATACTTCTCTGAATCATATTACTTCAAACATTAGAATATGCAAGAAGTAGATATAAACACATAATGTAATACCATTTAATTTTTCAAAAAAAATATTTTGACAAAAATTTTTATCAAAAAAATTATAAACTAAAAAACTTAAAATAAAGAATTCTTAGGATAAAAAAAGATTTTAAAAATTCCTCATATTGAAATAAAAAACTTTTATATGGTTTCTTTTTTTCATTCTTATAGTTCTTAATCTGACGTAAAAAACCATTTTGTAGAGAACTATCATCAAATAAGGAAAAAAAATATTATTTACAAGAAAATTTTTTATTATGAAAATCATAACGCTCACCTGTTTTATAAATTCGCAGAATTCCAAATGAAATGTTCCTAGCTTGAAAATTTTATTTTCAAATATTATATACATAGATTATCTCTTCATTACTTTTAGATAACATACTACAGAGCAAAATTTTATAATTGTCTGATCTCGATATGAATTTCAAAATGTAACTTGAAAACAGAATAGCTGAATTCTAGTTGAAATTATTCGTTCAAAACTGAAAAATTTATTAGTAAACAGCACAAATGATACTATTTCAAGTAATTCGGAGGATTCTTTATTGATGTTTTCCGAATTATATAGATGCAGAAATATATACTATTCCATAAAGAAGAATATTCTATAAATATTATAGTTCTGTACGTTCTGAATTCACATTTATTCATTGGAATGACGAAAGAAATGTAGACTTCACCTTAATTTGTAATGAATTGAAGAGGGAAAAAATTATTTTACCGTAATACACACATCTGCGTGCGATCGCGAAATCGGAAGTTATGTTACTGGTAATAGAAAGGTAAAAACTATTGAGAAATTGTTCTTCAAATGTTTGGCGTGTTCTGCTTCAATGTTTGGCATGTTCTGGTTCGTTTTTTCAAGTTCTTCTGCCTTTTCCTTAGGGAAATTTTGCTTCTTATTTGCTGCTAAGAAAATGTCGCCCGTCTTTGCCAATGGTTATGATAGAACTAATGCCCGATATTTTAAGGCTCCCGCTAGAGGGCGTACTCAAGCTTTGCGATTGCCGATTTTATTAACGATTGAAAATTTGAACAAGCTACATAAATATATATAAGCAGAGTGTGAACTAATAGTAGGAATCGGAGCCGCGATGGCTCAGGGGATAGAGCGTTCGCCTTCCAATGAGGCGGACCGGGTTCGAATCCCAGTCGAAACGAATTCCNCCTTAGGGAAATTTTGCTTCTTATTTGCTGCTAAGAAAATGGCATCCGTCTTTGCCAATGGTTATGATAGAACTAATGTCCGATATTTTAAGGCTCCCGCTAGAGGGCGTACTCAAGCTTTGCGATCGTCGATTTTATTAACGATTGAAAATTTGAACAAGCTACATAAATATATATAAGGAGAGTGTGAACTAATAGTAGGAATCGGAGCAGCGATGGCTCAGGGGATAGAGAGTTTGCCTTCCAATAAGGCGTACCGGGTTCGAATCCCAGTCGAAACGAATTCCGCATCCGGCTTGCATCGACCACAGTGCTGACATAAAATATCCTCATTGGGAGACGGATCATGGGTTAGAGTCCCCTTTCCGTGAGGCTAACCGTGGGAGGTTCTCGTGGTCTTCCTCTCCATGCAATGCAAATGCGGATTAGCTCCATCGAAAAAGTCCTCCACGAAGGCATATTTCTCCCTTTACTCGATCCAGTAGTTCCCTTGTCTTCTGGATTGGGTTCAAAATGACAAGGCTACGGAATTGAACATTAGTAGTCGTAAACCCATTAAATTATGTCGGCTGCTCAACGACAGTTGTAAAATCATAAAATAAAAATTTAAAAAAATAGTAGGAATTGGAAAAAAAGGCTCCTGGTATCAGACTTCATAAATTTGATTCATGAAGTCTGATACATTCTGGTATCAGACTTCATTAATTGGTATCATAAATTTGGTGACGTGGATCACACGTGCTACCACGTTATGTTCTTTATTGAAGAAGAAATATTTCACTAGTTGCGGATATTAATTACCTATTTATTTTTATCAAAGTTGCGGATATTAATTGAATTTTTTTTTGGCAACCAGTGTTTAGTAAAATAAAATTAATGGAAGCCATTTTTCCAAGCTACAGCTTCATGAATAATTAAATTGAAATCATCATATTTTGTACACTTTAGATGAAAAGTTGTAAATAAAAAAGAAATTAAGAATAACAAAAAAAGAAAGAAAAAAAATTATGAACGGTAATGTACAGTGCGCAAAGTACAAGAAACGGACCACCCTGAATAACGTTGGATCAAATGATCAGATCTTCCCATTCTAGGACACAATCTTGAAGGTTTGAGGAGGTGACCTCAAATATGCTGATTAATTAGAGCAGATGTTTATGAAGGGGAAAGCGTATGTTTATTCAGAGGAAATACGTTTTTGTGTCCGATTTCGCAACATAACATACTGTCTGTACTAATTAATTAGCATATTTAAAATCACCTTTTCGAACCATTAAGATTGAATCCTAGAATGTAAAGATCCAATCATTAGTTCAAAAGCACACAGTACATTTGCATTTTAGGATCAGATTTTGTGTCACGTAAATTGCACAGAGCTAGTTTAAGACTTGAAAAACGAAAAAAAAAAATTGAACAGGGACAACATTATTCTGTGAATACGATATATTCAGAACATTGTGTTCAATACTGTTAAGATATTGCATAAATATGAACTTTTCTTACGGGTAATTCTTCTGAGTTTATGAGCTGAACTCCACTCTCTAATAAATTTTCCAGCAGTGATTGAAATATATGCTCCTGCACTATGGCCAATGATATGAAATTTTGAACCATCTGCATAATTATTTTGCATCTGTAATAAATTATTAAATGTTAATCTTCTTCAATTGATATAAGTTAGTTGTTTGACATATGCCAGCAACTGTACTTTATTGTGTTAATTTTAAATTGAAATTTCGCTATACTTAAACTAAAATTTGAACCTCTTCTCCTCCTTAAACGTATAATTGATTGGCATATCATCTAATTAATATTCGGGCTATATGTAGTCATATATGAAATGTATTCGTTGACAGTTCCCAAAAGGGTGATCAAGAGGGTGTAAATGACGTCATTTAGACGATAAAACATTTGTTCATCAGAATTTAACATCAACTGTTATTGATTACAGTTAATGACTACATGCTGAAAAGTTACTTGCAAGCATGATTATAGATATTGATTTAGTTTATACTACTGTAGACATGATTACAATTCAGAACAATTACAAGTAATTAGGGCCTATTATTACAAACAATCACTGCTACATACAATTATCTCATGATTCCAGTTACATTAATGATTGAAAAGTATTTAATGTAATTTTAATTAGATGATTACTGATAATCATCTGATCATAAAATTACTTTCAATCCTAAATTCTTGTTATCTTTGATAATGATTACTTGTCAGTGTATTACAAGTGTACTAAAAGTCTACAAGTGTATTAAAAGTAATCATTTGTCTACAAGTGCAATATCACAATTATGAGTAATTTATTCTTTGCAATGAATTATATTTTTGCCTAACTCGAGTTTTAGATTAATAGGAGAATTTTTCGAGTAAAACTCTCTACCAAATGTTTTCTAAGGCAATGTAGCAGGAATATCAAAGTAACAAACATATAAGAGCATGCATACAATAAAATCGCGCGTGTGAATTCAGAGACACAAACGAGAACTTGATCGACGCGTTTTTCTCGGATAAATATATTTCACCAATCATATTCCAGTTCATATATGCGATTTTGAATGTCCCTATTTGGAGAGTGCTTTAGAGAATCGGAAGCAGATGGATCCAAAATATTTCTATGCCAGTCATAGTTGAAAGAAGCGAAGATAAAGAAAGAACAGAAACACACTAGTCAGTTAGTGTGACAATTTTCGAGCTAAGTTTTTCATTGGCAAACAGCTACAGGTTACAGATTGTGCCCAAAATTCCAACAAAAAGCAACCACACAAGCTTCAAATCTCAGTTGATCAAATTCCTAACGTTCTGGAAAATTGTTGGTGTACTTGTTATCGACCCCAGGGGCGGATGCAGAAATTTTTCCTGGGGGGGGGATCATAGACTCAGATCCCCCCCCCACAATGAATTTTCTTTTATAAAAAAAAAATTTTTTTTGACATTTTTTTTCTTGAAGAAAAAAAAACTGGGTTTTTAAATGCTAGTCTTCTCATTAATTTTTTTCATAATGAACAATACATAAATAATTCAAGTATTCAAAATCCTTAAATAATAAATGTAATGCGTTTTTTTAGAAACTTTGGCAAGCCTGTCAATGATTTTTTCAACATTCAAATCAATTTCTCGACAAATGTTTAATAATGCCGAGTCCATTTTATCGTTCTTGATTTTGAGTTGCTCTAAGCCAAGTTTTGAGACGTCGAAGAGTTGAAAAGGAACGTTCTGCTGTTGTTGCTCTAACTGGCAGTGTTATTAAAATTCTCAACAACATATTGATTGATGGGTACAANATCATCTGATCATAAAATTACTTTCAATCCTAAATTCTTGTTATCTTTGATAATGATTACTTGTCAGTGTATTACAAGTGTACTAAAAGTCTACAAGTGTATTAAAAGTAATCATTTGTCTACAAGTGCAATATCACAATTATGAGTAATTTATTCTTTGCAATGAATTATATTTTTGCCTAACTCGAGTTTTAGATTAATAGGAGAATTTTTCGAGTAAAACTCTCTACCAAATGTTTTCTAAGGCAATGTAGCAGGAATATCAAAGTAACAAACATGTAAGAGCATGCATACAATAAAATCGCGCGTGTGAATTCAGAGACACAAACGAGAACTTGATCGACGCGTTTTTCTCGGATAAATATATTTCACCAATCATATTCCAGTTCATATATGCGATTTTGAATGTCCCTATTTGGAGAGTGCTTTAGAGAATCGGAAGCAGATGGATCCAAAATATTTCTATGCCAGTCATAGTTGAAAGAAGCGAAGATAAAGAAAGAACAGAAACACACTAGTCAGTTAGTGTGACAATTTTCGAGCTAAGTTTTTCATTGGCAAACAGCTACAGGTTACAGATTGTGCCCAAAATTCCAACAAAAAGCAACCACACAAGCTTCAAATCTCAGTTGATCAAATTCCTAACGTTCTGGAAAATTGTTGGTGTACTTGTTATCGACCCCAGGGGCGGATGCAGAAATTTTTCCTGGGGGGGGGATCATAGACTCAGATCCCCCCCCCACAATGAATTTTCTTTTATAAAAAAAAAATTTTTTTTGACATTTTTTTTCTTGAAGAAAAAAAAACTGGGTTTTTAAATGCTAGTCTTCTCATTAATTTTTTTCATAATGAACAATACATAAATAATTCAAGTATTCAAAATCCTTAAATAATAAATGTAATGCGTTTTTTTAGAAACTTTGGCAAGCCTGTCAATGATTTTTTCAACATTCAAATCAATTTCTCGACAAATGTTTAATAATGCCGAGTCCATTTTATCGTTCTTGATTTTGAGTTGCTCTAAGCCAAGTTTTGAGACGTCGAAGAGTTGAAAAGGAACGTTCTGCTGTTGTTGCTCTAACTGGCAGTGTTATTAAAATTCTCAACAACATATTGATTGATGGGTACAAATCAATGACACAGTTATTAATAATCTTGGAAAGATCGTTGGGCACTTCAAGTCCTGCTTCTGTTTCACGTTGCCATTTTGCCACCCGAAGACGAAATTCTGTTTCGACAACTTTTACGGAAGCATTTTAGAGATTCTTTTAAAACTCGGCAGTTTCACGAACGGCTATAAGATCTTCTTCTGTAACAGTTTGACGAGGTAAAAAAACTAAGGATGATATTGCGCAAGCGTTGCTAGAGACAAACTTCTCCGCCTTACGCGAAGCGCTGGCATGGTGCCAGATTTTAGTTACGAGTTTCGCAAGTTTCCCATCTTTACCTGTTGACCTGTTGAAGCGCGCTGGGAGTATTCGGCGCGTTTCAACATTAATAATGTTTACAATGAAACTATGACGAATTTCGTTTTTATCCTTTGGATTATGATTCTTGAAACAGTGAAGAACATAATTAGATGAAGAAGAAAAATCGATTTTTCCGACCTACCTAGGTGCATATGCCACCTTAAATAATTTTTTAAATATTTCATTTCTTTTGTAAACTATTGAAAAAATTATTATTTTAATTTTTTTTAATTTGGGGGGGTCATGACCCCTATGCTGGATCCGCCACTAACCTACCCTGAAGAATGCAAATGACGATGGGAGTTTCATGTACCGATTTTTTTTAATCCCATTCAGCCTACGAACGAGTTCTTCAACGGACACAGAAGTTTTCATCAGATCGAATACAATATACAATCGACGAGATGTTTAACAGCAGTCAGATGTGCCAAAGTCTTCATTTGATTCCACATACGACAACAACGTCTCTAACGGCAGTCTGATGTGCCTGTATTAATTTGATCACCGACAGCATACGATTAACTAGGTCTTCAACAACAGTCTGGTATCAACTCTTCATTCGATCCCAGGCAGTATAAAATTAAAAAAAGTCTTCAACGGGAGTCAATTTAACTGATGCTGTCACGTTACCAAAGGACCTGAAAATGAAATATCTCTGTCCCACCCAATAAACAGGTGGAGGTAATGTTGCATGTTTCTGTAACACAGGTTGATAGGTGATCATCGGATAACGTTAAATTAGCAACACATTCGTTATCTTCCGTGACGAAGAACAGGGAAAGGAAAAAAAATGATAGTAAAAATATTTCAGTGACAGCTGGCTTCCAGGAAAGGTAAAAAAAAAGTCTTATTATTCTTAATTATAAACTATTCATTAATTTTGCTTTTTCTCAAGTAAGAAACAATAATGTTTGCAGATTCTTTTATTGTTCATTTGCAGTCATATCCTGTTCTCATATATCCAAAGAAAGAGATCTACAAATTCATGCGGGATAAATCTTTATTTTAACGCCCTCCTCTGTACGATGCTTATAACTCGATATGCCTTCGGTACCTCCTGCAAGTTTGTCACACTGATTTAAAAAACGTTGCATGAAAAACTTTAGGAATTAAATATGTAGAACATTCTCAAGAACTATAAAATAAAAACAAAATATTAGAATGTTTTCCTCAATCACTATATATATATATATATATAGAATGTCCCTATTTGGAGAGNAGCACGGATAATCCGCGCACGGATAATCGAGAGTGTACTGTGTATAAATATATATATATATATATAAACAATAAGTTTACATTTTTTTTATTTAGAAAAAAAAACACGATTTAAAAATAACAAATTTCACATTCCTGGTAACAAATACATTCTCTACCAATAGCTTTATAAAAAAGTGTGAATAGGCGTTGACGCATAATTAAAAAAAATTAAATACATCGGAAATGGTCATCACCGTTATATTCTTAATAACAAATCCAATTATAATCTTCCATCTTATAATCTTCCAATTGCTTTATATATTTAAGTGATTAGGCAATATGCTTTAAGCTTAGTTTCAAACGCTAAACATACTGGAAACTTAACCACTATTTGAATTTTACCATAATATTCTTGATTACAAATCCAGTCTCTTCACCAGCTACAAAAGAATTAATAATAGCACCATCCGGATCGGGAAAATTACCCCACGTCCAGTCCACTAAAATGACGTTATATCCTCCTCGAATAAATAGTTGTTCTTTATATTCCTAAAATGTTAATAATTTTTTACTATTAAAATTTTTTAAATGCTAGATAGTGATATGTTCAAAAAACAAACAATTATAATGAAATTAAATTATACTTATTAAAAATAAATTGAACCATGTCATTTTTTCATATATATATATATATAATCAAACCCCACTATAGTGAACACGTCTTATAGTGAACTCCTGGATATAAAGAACGAAATGTTCGGTCCCGTGCCTTACTATACAATGTTATTTTTTGTGGATATAGTGAACCAAAAAAGTGAGGAAGTTGGATATTATGAACTTTTTTCTGTCTTCGACTGATATTTTTAGTTGTTGTAATAATTGTGAAATTTCTATTTCAAAGCAACTGATTTTTAAAACCATCTACAGAGAGGAGTTTCTTGTTTGCTTCTTCCTTTATGTCCATCCCTAAACAAAGGCTGGCAGATCCTGTAAAGGGATCCATTTTCTGTCAGAGAGAGAGAGAGTTATTCATTATTGGTCAAAGGGGTGGACACTAATCTTTGTTAATACTCCTTTTTCTCTCAGTTCAGTTAAAGAAGTTCCCAAATTTAACTATGGCGAGCAGTAAAACGTTCTCCGTTGATGATAGAATGGGCATAATCAGAAAAATTGAAAATGGATGTAATCAACTCGATAATTGCAGGAAAATTCATAAATTCAGGAAAAAATTATCGGAGAGTCGGGAAGTGTTTCCATATCTGATGTTGAGGATTGGAAAAGAAATGTTTTGGAATGATATCTCTCGTAACTATGAAGAGAAAGACATATTCAACTCGGATGAGGCTGGATTATTTTATAAAATGATAACCAAACATTGAAATTTAAAAATTCAAGTGTTCTGGTGGTAAACTTTTAAAAGTGCGACTCTCCGCTCTAGTATGCGCTAATATGAATGGATGGGAGAAGCACAAACTTTTGGTAATCGGCAAATCTCAAAAGACAAGATGCTTCAAAAATGTTAAAAACTTTCCAGTTTCATACAAAGAAAGCATGGATGACATCTGGTCTAGTTGAAGAAGAAATTCGAAAATAGGCTAAAGAACTATCGGCCAGAAAAAGAAAATTTTTGCTGTTGATTGATAATTGCACAGCACATTCAATTTTTGAAAACCAGGAATGGATAAAGATTGTTTTCCCGTCATCAAACGCAACATCTATAGTACAGCCTATGTAACATCTATAGTACAGCCTATGTAACATCTATAGTACAGCCTATGTAACATCTATAGTACAGCCTATGTATGATTGATAATTGCACAGCACATTATATTTTTGAAAACCAGGAATGGATAAAGATTGTTTTCCCGTCATTAAACGCAACATCTATAGTACAGCCTATGTAAACTCTTGTGCCGTGGCGGTTCATTCATCATTATTTTGTTGTTTCCAAGTATTTGAATGTAGAATAAATGTAGAATAAAACAAAGAAAAATTATAGACATATGAAGAAAAAAAAAGGGGGGGGGAGAATAATAAGTAAAGAAATAACAAACAACATTTAAAAAAAAAAGAAAGAATGAAATTTTATTTAAAAAACCGGAAAAAAAATCGGAAAAAGAGATATAATCTTTTCATCACCCCACACGATTATATCCGCAAAACAGAGTGCTTTCTGATATTGCATCAATGAAGCCAAAGCAAAATATATTAATACAATAGTGTGAGGAGCACTCAAATGTTTTTTTTTAAAAATTACAACAAATGAAATAGAACACAAAAAGTAAAAATAAGTAAAAATAACATGTAAAAACAGAAAATAAAATAAAATAAAAAGAAAAAAAAACAGTATAGAAATGGACTATAAAGCGAGCAGCGAAATCAGATCAACTTACATGGACGGGAATTTTTCAAGAATGATTTAAAAATGTTTTCGCAGAAAGATTGCCAGATTACAAAATATGAAAACAAAAGCGCAAATTGAGTGTAACAAGAGGGTTTTAAAGTGTCGTTCTTACTGCACTGCTGAAGTGATTTGTTATTCTGCGCATTGATTTGTTAGTTACCAAGGATGGGCCCGAAATGGATGCGCGCAAGGTAATATTACACTGGATAATTTTAAAAATTGACCATAAAAAGTTTTCGAAAATAGATGTTTATTTAAGAAAAAATATAAGATAGAAAAGAGAAACATAAATTGCCTGTTTTGCAAATGGAAAAATTATATAAATTATCAAAGAAAAAAATTTTAATAGATAATCTTAGCACGGATTTGCACATGGAAATCCGTGGTTAAAATTATTTACTGAAAATTCCTTTACTAAATAATTTCCTTTGTTAATCTATAAAATTTTTCCATGTGCAAATCCATTTCGGGCAAATCCGTGGGTAAAATTGTTTGCTAAAAATTTTTTCTTTGTTAATTTTTCCATGTGCAAATCCATTTCGGGCAAATCCGTGTTAAAATTATCTATTAAAATTTTTTTCTTTGATAATTTATATAATTTTTCTATTTGCAGAACAGGCAATTTATATTTCTCTTTTCTATTTTATATTTTTTCTTAAATAAACATCTATCTTCTAAAACTATTTATGATCAATTTTTAAAATTATCCAGTATAATATTACCTTGCGCGCATCCATTTCGGACCCATCCTTGGTAACTAACAAATCAATAGACAGAATAACAAATCACTTCAGCAGTGCAGTAAGAACGACACTTTAAAACCCTCTTGTTACACTCAATTTGCGCTTTTGCTTTCATATTTTGTAATCTGGCAATCTTTCTGCGAAAACATTTTTAAATCATTCTTGGAAAATTCCCGTCCATGTAAGTTGATCTGATTTCGCTCCTCGCTTTATAGTCCATTTCTATACTGTTTTTTTTCTTTTTATTTTATTTTATTTTCTGTTTTTACATGTTATTTTTACTTATTTTTACTTTTTGTGTTCTATTTTATTTGTTGTAATTTTTATAAAAAATTTTTTTGAGTGCTCCTCACATTTTTGTATTAATATATTTTACTTTGGCTTTATTGATACAATATCAGAAAGCACTCTGTTTTGCGGATATGATCGTGTGGGCTGATGAACAGATTATATTTTTTTTCCGGTTTTTTAAATAAAATTTCATTCTTTTTTTCTTTTTTTTAATGTTGTTTGTTATTTTTTTACTTATTATTTCCCCCCCTTTTTTTTTCTCCATATGTCCATAATTTTTCTTTGTTTTTTTCTACATTTTGAACTTATCTTCTAATGAGTTTTGTTTACTTGCAGCTTA